ATGAGAATCTGATGGCTGAGTTACAGGATATAGTTCTAAACTGAAAGCATAATTGTTCACATTTTGACCCATCATGTTCCTATGTCTTTTACATTCCTACAATTACCATGAAAAACCCCTGCTAAGTATGTCAGACCTATAAAGGTGCTTTCAGTTCGACTAATGCGATGTCATAAGAAATACATTTTGAATATGGCTTCTGGTACATACAGAATGTTTTATTGGTACTTCAGCTTTTGTGTATTTCACAACATCTTGTAGCATCTTGTCTATTATAACTTTAAACACTGAATGGCAATGCCGACATATTGCCCAATATGTTTCACCCAGCCTAGAACTTCACTATATTTTCTAAGTTCTAACATTGGATTATTCCATTTTGTTGTGTGACTATTTTACAATAGTTTAACTAGTCAGATATATTCTCACATTTCTATTTTCTTCATCATCTAAGTCAAGGAGATCAGCATTCCCTGTGTCTGGATTAGTCAATTTTTGCTCCATTTCACTATCACAGGAACTTCAGCTCCCATAGCCAGTGTCAGAGTCATCATCATCATCATCATCCACCCACACTGCTCTTACAGAACCTTGTCTTCATTTCCCAGAACCTTCTCCCAACTCATGCTTCTTAGTTTCCAAGCTTAGCAATTTATTGCACCGCATCAGGAATCCTCTTGGCACACGAGATAACCCAGCACGAATCTGCAAAGATTTGCTCAACTGAAACCTATCTGGTTCCCGTAACAACAGCCGCAGGTACAGTATTGAGTCGGGAGCCACTGCTGGCTGCAATCGCGATGGGACTCTGTAAAGCACAGGGCAAGCAACTGAAGCTTGGAAAAACATAACTTCATTCGTTTCCATCATTTTCAAACAGAGAGCGGTCACTTTTTTTTTAACACGATGATTTACACCTTGCTTAGAATATAGTTCTAGGATTTTTGCCCAATGCCCACAATTACATAATCCTACCATGAAGACACAGAACTTACCAGACAAAGTAGCCCCAACGCAATAAAGCAGGAGAATAAAGCAGGGGTGGGGAGGAAAGTCTGTGGGATGATAAGGAACTTAGTGGGGAAGGGTTTTGAATCAGAGAAAGAAGATTCAGACTGGTCCTGCAGGAGGGGGAACTCCAGGGTCGAGGGGTATTTTAAGGAAGTTTTACAGGATGTTTTGGTTGTAGGTGTGGGGTTATCCTCTCCTTCTATGCCTGCAAAAAATCTTCAGTAAAGGTCTGTGGAATTCTTCAACACTCTGAGGTAAGTTTTATGTATACTCTCAGTAGTTATCTAAAATTATCTTTGAGGGCTGGGGAGATGGCTCAGTGGAATAAGCACTTCCCTGGCAAGCGCAGGGGCCTGAATTCAATCCCTGATTCCACAAAAATAAATAAATAAATAAATTAATTAATTAAAATAAAATTATCTTTGAAATTGATTAGCAGAAATAAAACTTGTGAGAAGAATATTAACGTAGGCCACAATGGAATGAAATGTTCATTTAAACAAAATGTTTTATTTATGTTAAATTGCTTTTTAAAAATATAAGACAGACAACATTTAGTACATGTTGAAGAATAGTGATGAGTGTTAATCTTCAAAGTTCCCTGGAGATGAAGGTACAAAGAACAGACCGGACAGTGTTGCTGGGAAAAATTGTGACAATACCAGGGCTCTTCTCTGCAAGTTCACTGTAAACTTTGGTGTTTTATCTCTGTTGATTTCTTGGTTTTTGAAGTTTGCTCTCAGCAGATATAAACCAGTCCTGTTTTCCAGAGTTGCCCTTGGTTCCCCAAATGCTATACACCTAGAAAATTGTTTTAAGAAGCAAATTCAAAAGTTTAAGTGTATGAGGGCTGGAGAGATGGCTCAGTGGTCTAAAGCACCTACTTAGAACAAGCTTAGCAAAAGCATCAGGGACCGCGGTTCAATCCCCCAGCACCACATG